AAAGAAGGCGTATTCTTGGTGTTTTGAGTTCTGGTTTAAAGTCACTGGCAAAAGTTGATTGGCTATTTCCTTCAACTGATAAATTTCGTCCAGATTAATTTTGGAAATGTTTGGTGCGTATAAGAACTTCGTAGTTATTGTTTGAGGTAGTGTGATTTTCTGCAAGATAAATAACAAGGGTTGATGTTTCAAGCAGGTGATACTAATTGGTACCACATTTGGATATTAACTTTGCAGGTTCTGTTAACAGTACAAGAACCTGGCGATTGGCAGATGAAGAACCAATTCTTGCGTTATTTGTTCAACTATTGGCTCTACTAAATTAATGTTGAAGGTTGAAAAATTATTTATTGCCTTGCCCTTTAAAAGTTCATTAATACAATCATCTTGTGGGTGAAAGTCTTCGTTGCAGTAATACGTGCCTTCTATTTTTGGACGACAAGGGTGAATGGTATGCTGGTTTCTTACTTCTTCTGGTTCGATTTAGGACAATGGGGTATAGGTGGAAAAACACTAAATCTTCTGGCCTTAGTATAGGTACGTGTATTGCAAACATTATTCTTTTCGGAGAGAAACTAACCTGAGTTCAAAAAAATTGATAATATGAGAGCAAATTTTGAAATTTTGGGCTTGCTGCAACTTTATACATGCTTTCTAAATATTTTAGCATAGTTGTTAGTTCGTTAGGAGACAAAATACTGATAGGCAGCGCATTTAGCTTGGAAAACATTATTGCGTTCTCTAAGTTATCCAAAAACATAATTAAGTTTTGACAATGTAAGTTTAATTGCGTTAGTGACCCATGAAACCCAAGATAATTCTGAATGTTGGTTATAGTTTGTTGCATTATTTGCTGAAAGGACCTTATACTTAATCTAAGTTTGTCCTGATTTTCGTTAAGCGTAGTTATGGTCTTATTGCAATGGGTGATTAAACCTTTGGATAGTGACATCTGAAGTTTTAGTTCATTGTTGATACTTGTTTGATTACTATCTAAAGTAGCAATTGATTCATTGTAATGTTGGCCGTCTTCAACGTCATGTGTACCAAAAAGCCATTTATTAATTTGTCCTACTACATTTAAGAAGCCTCGTTTTTTTCGATTATTTGGGATTAGATTTTGAATGTTACTTGATGCGATGTAAATTAAGTTGTCCGTTCTTATTAGTAAATTTTCTGATAACTGATGATACGATATTTCGTTAGTACCGTTATGTGACTTTAAATAGCCTTTAGTAAAAAATTGCTACTAAATACATGTTGTCTACATTTTCAATATTTTCGTTTTTTTCGTACCTACCAAACAAATGTAACAAAACTAATTTGTTTCATCCAGTGTTGTTTGGTGAACATCTTGGCAGTGATTTTTGCTTGACTAAACTGATGACAGACCAAACCATCCTCGCAGCTTACGCGGCCAATAGATCCTACTTCGAAAAACACCTAAACCAAACTTCTTAAAACGTGCTCGTTTTCAAAGGTATCCAGCGAGCAGTTCCTCAGTGAACGCCTATACGCTCACATCTGAAATTCCTCCCATTATTTTGAGATTTTTAATTTCTGGTTTCCCGATGCATGGAGTCTTTTAGGACTATTAACTCTTTCCTTGTTTCTCTGTAGGCATCTCATGTTTATATTATTTTCGATTGCATTTTCTACTGCTGTTATAGTGTAGAGTTGGAGAGTGCAAGTTCTTGATTAACCCATCCGCAGTTTTTCTTTTAAATCTAATGGTCCAGGAGGGTTACAGATTGGCATGCCTTAACGTGACGTAACTTAGATATCTATTGGAATCGCTCGGGAATGGTATCCCTATTGAAAAACTCGAGGTGAGCCAGCTTCAAAAGGTGTGCTATTTGCATAAACAACAAAAAAGTGAAAAAATGCGAAAAACGCGTTTTTTCCCGGAAACAATCACATATAATTCAGTAAGTATGCATTTGGGAGAAAAAATGCATACATATGAATAAATTTGTTCGTTATAAAGAGACTATAGTTTCTACAAGAGAGAGGTGGTACGATATCTGTAGATTTGAAATGTTCGAAAGTGCAAAAAACTAGGTGAAACACAAGGTAATTTTAAATAATTTATTGAACAATGAAAAAATAGCCCAATCACGCCATACCTACCTTTAGGGAAAACTACTTGACTGCACGACCAAACAAGAGCCGCAAGGCCGATTAAGATCGGACGGACAGGTTTTGCATAATGCAATTGTTAAGTAACCTACCTGAAAAAAATATTTTTAAAAATTTTGTTCCAGGCTAAAGGTTTTGAATATTTTTGATATATCGACCACCAATTGATTCTTTTTTTAAATTGGTCCTCTGGGCCTGGAATAAAATCCTCTGAATTTTCTACCTCAATTTAGAAAAAATCGTCAAAATAGGTCCAGTAGTAGGCAAGATATAGCATCCTGAAGGGAGCGCGCATACATACGCATACTTTGTATTTTGAAGCGCTTTTTGCAAACTTTTGAAAACCGGTCAAAAAGATATTTAAAATAGAAACATGGTTAATATAGCAATTGTATATGATAGTTTAAGGGTCCAAGAAGGCGTAAAAGCGCGGAAGCAAAAAAATATTTATAACTGAGTTTCACAAAATATGTAAAAAACACTAATTTTTTTTAGGTATGTTATTCAACTATTGCATTATGCAAAAACTGTCCGTCCGATCTTCATCCGCTGCGGCTCTCCTTTTGTGTTGCAGTCAAGTACTTTTCTCTAAATGTATGACGTGATTGGGTTATTTTTTTTATTGTTAAATATACAGCGTGTTCCGTAAATATGATAACATATTTTCACGGGGTATTCTTGTAGTCATTTTAGAGGCGGGTCTAACTGAGATTTTTTTAAATTGGGAGTCTTATTGAGATATTTGATTTCCAAAATGGCGGAAAATATTAGATTTTGTTGTTTTTCTATATAGCGGTTAAACATAGAAACTTCAATTTTGGTATCCATTATAAACTAATTGAGTGCCATTTTATGGTAGTGTTTTGTGGTTCAGTTTACTTGTACTCAGGGTACAAATGTGGGACCCTACTTTTGTTTCGTTCAGAACTTTTTTATGTGCACTTAATTAAACTTCTATTAATATAATTTTTTTACACAGCAATTTACTACAAGTTATTTGCCAACTTGTTTTTTATCTCTTATTGTTTTTTCGAAAATTGCCGTTCAGTTTTAATAAATTTTACTTAAATAATGATATGGTGGGCAGAAAGACCGATTGGGTCAATAGCCGTTTTCTATAGGAAATAAAGATTATTTATATATGTTATTAATATATTATATTATTAATACATATTAATGTTATGGTAACAATATCGATATAAACAAACAAAATAAAATTTCAATAATTTAACAACAAACAACAACACAAAACAATAAGTAAACCATGTTAACAGGTTAACAGCAGCTGTTCAAAATGGTTATTAAATAAAAAAGTCACTTAGTTACTTACACATTTGGAGACCGGCAAAGAAAACAATTTAATTTTTTCTCGTTTAACTGTTTTAAAGAAAAACAACAAAAATTAATATTGTAAAAACCAATATAAAATCAACAATGAGCCCTCCATCTAAAATGACTAGAAGAATACATTGTTAGAATATTTTAACATATTTACGGAACACCCAGTATAATGTTTTTACCTACTTTTTTCCACTTTCCAGCATTTTAAAGTGAATATTTAAAAGTTACAAATGTCCAGCCAACTTCATGTTGTCGAGAATGTCATAAGAACCACTTTGTAAGCATACGTTTTTTCTATAAAATGCATATTTACTGAGTTATATGCCATTGTTTACGGAAAAAAACGCGAATTTCGCATTTTTTTTTTTCACTTTTTCATTCTATATGCAAATAGCATAAATAGCAACAGCATATTTTGTCCGGTTTTCTCCTGTTTAGTTGGGTTATTTCCATATTGGAGAATGATAGGTATATGGATTAATTTCTGAATTTGGTCGTGTATGTTTCGCACACACTGACAATATTGTTTTCCACTAGGTTTAGGTGACATTTAGTATGATAAATTAAATTGGGCTTTTTTTATAGTTATAGTTAGAGTTTTATAACTTTTGTGAATCATACTTGTAACGCTGCAGAAATAGGCAAGCATATTTACAAGCCGTTTAAAAATTAGAAAACAAGTTTTTAAAAACGCTCTTAAAATTAACTAGGTACTTCAATTAGTATATGGAAATAACAAAATCTTTATGCTATGTCATGTTTAAGCATACAGCCTGGGAGAAAGCCGAAGTTTCTGAACGCTGCAAATTTCATATTGAAACAAAGTTCTGTGTATTTGCCAGCAATAATTATGCAAAGCAGTTTTTTAAACCTCTTAAATTCGTATTTCTAAAATGCAAATGCTTCTCTTGCGGAATGTTAATCAGAAGGTTTCGCCTAGTTTCAAACTTTTTTCGGTAGTGTAATTCGTACTGTGATTAGCTTTGTTTCCAGCTGCGCCAGTTTCAATTGCTTGTAAGCTCAAATAAGTGCAAAAAATAAAACTTCGTAAATGCTGATATAATTGGTTGGTGGGTATGAAGTAAGGGAGAAAATTTACTACTTTTCTTACGAGGCTTTGAAGTTTCTCTCTGAATATTGAAAATAAATTAGGAAATAAACTTCAAAATGTAAATACTTCGAGATGAACCACAACCTATTGAGCGTTTTCCTATTAAGTTTTAAAAAAGTTGATGGGAAGTGATTTTTGTAATTTTTTTACTAATCCTATTATTAGATTGCTAATTTTTGAAAATGTAACCTTTTTAGGGAGTGACTGTATTATTAAAAAATATATTGGCTTTCGGGTTTCAGAACGGTTTTATAAAATAAATTTAGGAATTACATCATTACATAACCCAAGTAGTTCTCGACAGTAGTTCTTGGCTTGGAACTGTAGACTCAATAGGGAACTTGCACAAAAATTAAATTTAAAAAATATTACTTGCAAACGTAACTTAATACTATTAAAAACACCACAGTTGACCAAAAAACTATTTTTTTATTTATATGTAATTAATATAAGCAATTAAAAACTGTATAATTGAAATCATTCTTGAAACGCTCCGTCATCGGCTGGGACCAGTTGTGACGTCAAGCGGCTCGTCGGTCGCGGTAGCTTCAATGCGGAGCATGTATATATGCAACCTCAGTCTTGATATTGTTGTCAAAACGTTTATATTAGGAGAAAACGAAAATATTTGACTGACGCAGGTTTTGTAAAAGAACAATCTGACATTTTACCACTCGTGGATATGTTTATGGTGTCATTTTACATTAAAAACACCGAAAGTTTTACTCTTGCTGAAGTTAGCGGTGTTAAAGCTAACAGGTAGATTTATAGACAAAATAGCCAATAGTTTTACTTATATAAGTTAGATTGGGGTTTTACTGTCTCTAATTTTCAAAATTCAACTAGGACCTATTGATCAAAATATGAATCACTTGATTCAACAAAAAATAAGAAAGTATTGTTTTCATGCTAGTAAAAACTAAATTACATCATTAAAAGTGATTTGGCATTGATGCAAAATAGAGCGTTAGTGATTAAATATATCCTTAGTTACTCAGAATAACAATGTTAAGTACAAAAATATGTAATAAGTAAAAAAACGTTATTTACAGATCGGGAAGGTATTCTTATGGAGTTTCTGCAGTAGGATGGATGCAAGTACACGTGCAATAGCCTTCATTTTTTCAGACCTCTCATTAACTTGAATTTAACATAGTTATCCATATATTCTTCCAGCTAGAATAAATAAATAATATTAAAGTCACATAAAAATATGTGTTAATATTCATATTGCATGACAAAAATAGTAGGTATTTAACGTAACTGCACTACGATAAAACGAGATTTTTCCTTCGCAGATACTTATTGTTTCTTTTTATCGTCTTCAATATAGCAATTAACTATTTTTGAAGGGATTATTTACTACTATAATGCAGCCGAGAAACAAACAAAATACAAATTCACAGTATTTATCTGTTATACAATATAGAAAATCAAATCTGTTTTTATACATACATTAAAATAATCTTAACATACATGGGCAGTCGTCTTCCCAGAAAAAACCTTGCATACCTTTACCCTTTAACCGTTTTAAACGCCGGCTTTTATCTCGTGGTACACGAATAAATAACCTTTCTGGCGTTTTAAAAGTTGTACTAGGACACAGTGGCACCATACAGCATTTGCAATATTGTTTTTGTGTTGCTTCTATTATTAATAAAGCACAGCACGAATTCTGAACATTAAAACACCCAGACAATTCGGGAAGATTCGCGTTCGGCCGACTGAACTGACGTGTTTAAATAGCAATACAATTTAAATCAGTTTTTGGTGGCATTAGTGAACCGAAATTGATAATTCTAACATAATATGAGTGACAAAAGTGACGCCAAAAAGACTGGGGCCAAGAAAAAAACGGCAAATGGAAAAGTGAAGAAATCCAGAAGTTCTTCACTGGAATCCATTGATTAGTCACAGGTACAAATAAATAAAATTATTGGGTTATCTACCTTAAAAAGGGACAATCCAATGAATACAACATTCCTTGATAAGGCAGACCAAAATATCGAGCTACAGGGGGAACACAATAAGAACAATTTAGAATTGGATAAAACAACTGAACAAAGCAGCGAAATGAGTATTTTTACGCCTAAAAAATCAATGGCAAGAACACCACCGAAACCATGTTTTGATGACACTAAAACACAAAAAAGGCCAAGATCAGAATCCAGTCCTCCGGTCATACAAGACAGGCAAAAGATTCGAAAACAGACCGAAAATGCTAAAGAAGAAGACCACATTAATAATGGTGCTACAAAATATGAAGATTTACACTTTGCAAGTACTAACAATGTCACACTAATTGACGAAATACTGGAAGCATTGGAAAACATTCACAATGTCTCGGAGAAAGAACAGTTTAATAAAGACGACCTTTCAAAGATGAGGAAGACAAGTTCATAAAACAGTGACAACCTTAGTATATAGAGTAGGGCAACTCGAAAAAGAAAACTTAAAATTGCACTAAAATGCACAAATACAAACAATACTAAACCAGTAGACTGCCCCCAAACACAAGTAGTCATTGGACAGGCCCCAAAGACATATAGGACAATCACAAAAACCACCCCACATCATTGAACATTGGGCAACTCCCCCAAAAACAAGAAAACATGACATGTTAATCAACTTTAAAAATCCAGATCATGCTGTGAATATCCTGAAAGAAGTGAAGAAAAACTTAAATGGTTCAAATGAAACAGTTAAAAGTGTCAGACAGCTTCAAAAATTGCAAAATATGAGAAACGCGATAAACTACAAAATGCCGATCCGATGCTAATGATTACTGGGATAGACACAGGATACGACTCTGACAGTTTTATTAAAGAGTTTATCGAAGAAAATCCCCAAATAAAAACTATGTTTGGACCAGATGTAAGCAATAAAATAAAATGTATTGCCAAAAAACAATGCAGAAATAATAGTAGAAAAAACTGGATTCTGCAAACGCCGCCAGAAATATTTAAATGGCTAATAAGAAATGAAACTCTAACTTTTGATCTTACTAGAGCATACGTCCAGAAACATATCAATGTTGCGTTGTGCTTCAGATGTTATAATTTTGGACAAGTAGTTAAGCATTGTAAAAGCGATGTATGTTGCTACAAATGTGGAGGTACACATGAACCCAATCATTGTACAACACAAATTCTAGATTGTCCAAACTGTAAGCGCTTGAGACTTAATGACAGAATTCACTCTGCAAGAGATCAAAAATGATGTCCGGCTTTTCTGCAAAAGATGAAGAAACAGCGCGAGTACATTAATTTTAACAACACCCAAGAACAAAAAACTTTTTTTCCGACTGAACAGAACAGCCTAACCGAGGTAATACCAATGCCCCGACAAAATTAACAAGATTTAGTATCATACATCAAAATGTCCAGTCTCTAGGAACTGTGTGGATACTATTAATCACATGCTAGATGAAAATAAATATTGCAAATGTCTCTGCATTACCGAACATTGGAAAAAAGAAGAAGACCTAAAAACGCTTGGTATTCATAATTTTACGCTTGCATCCAGCTATTGCAAAAAAAAGGATATGGAGGAGCTGCAATATACCTAGACAAAAACCAAAAATTTACCCAGCGAGCAAAAATCAATAAGCTATCAGTAGAGGGCGTCTTTGAATGTGTATGTATAGAAAGTAAAATTCGAGAAGAGTCTTTTATCGTGATGACAATATACAGGCCACCAAAAGGAGACATAAAAATATTTCTTAAAAAAATAGAATTCCCACTTACCCTAATTGCGAATGAAAATAAAAATATTGTCATTGCGGGTGATTTTAATATAGAACTTTTGGATTGTAATGATTACAGGACGCAATTTTTATCTGTGATGGGCTCTTTTAATCTGTACCAAACAATAGATAAAAATACAAGAATAACATCAACATCTAATAGACAATATATTTTCAAATGTTCCAAAATGCAGGGTCTCGAGTCATATTCTAAATACAGTCATCTCGGATCACACTGCACAAAAAAAAGTATTAGAGTGTAAAATTCCCGCAAAGCCGACAAAGCAATGCTACTTTAAGAGATTTTTCAGAGAGGATAGTCGAAGGGAGTTTTTCGATATTCTAAATCAACAACAATGGTTAGAAGTTTATGCAATAGATGTGGCGGATGTAACTAAACAATGGTCAATTTTTCTGAGCACTTTTTTGGCAATTTTAATCAATGTTTTCCGAAAAACTTATTTAACCCTAAACATAGAACAAATACTCTCTATACCGATAATGAAGAAATACAAAAATTAAAAAATAGACTAGATGTTCTACTGATGTTAAAACGTCGGAATAATAATTATAATGAAATTTATTCTACGGTGGAAAAAGCATATGATAAGTTGCTGACGACAGTCAGAGCAGAGAATTATGCTAAGAAGATACAAAACTCGGACAATAAAAATAAATGCATGTGGACTATTTTTAATGAACTATCAGGTAATTCAAGCAAGCACGGTGCCATGATTGATGGAGATGGAGCCAGACGAATTATCGAACAGATATAACGAGTTCTTATTAGAGTTCATTCCAGATCTAATAAAAAAATACCCGATATTAAATGGACAGACAATATCCAGGAAAATCATATCGTAATTGGAATTAGCGCACAGAATTAAGAACAAACATACTAGTGGTGACGATGAATTGCCCACAAGTCTTATGCGTCAGATCATTCCGGATATAACCCAGGTAATTTGCTTTGTCATAAATAACTCACTGAGAGAAGGAGTGTTTCCTGAATCTCTAAAGTTGTCTGGAATTAGACCATGTTATAAGAATAAAGGCGATTCTAACATGTTAGATAACTACAGACCCATCAGCCTACTACCGGCTTTCTCAAAGTTATTTGAAGATGTCATGTCCAAACGGTTAATAAATTTTATGATGGAGTCTGATATTCTTTCGCGAAACCAACATGGGTACATGAAGGGACGATCCACTCAAACGGAGATCTTTCAGTTCACACAAGCAAGTTTGAGACATCTGGAGGCCGGCGACATGGCTTTAGGAATATTCTTGGATCTTTCAAAGGCATTTGACTGTCTGAATCAAAATTTACTACTGAAAAAACTAGAAATTTATGGGATTAGGGGGCGCGCTCTTGAGTGGTTTCGCTCATATTTAAATACGAGAACCCCAAGGGTGATTATACGCCAGGACGGTATGTCCTACAAATCAAAAATTTCGCAAAGCACAGTAGGTGTGCCACAGGGGAGTATGCTCGGACCTATTTTGTTTATAGTCTTTATGAATGACATTAACA